GTTACTACAGACGAGCAGGGGGGGGGGGGGGGGAGTGCATAAAGTGAAACAGCCCAAGCCCCAAAATCAGCTGGGGCAGAAAGAAAAGAAATCCTAAAAGACAACGTTTGTTATTATGGGGAAACTCAAGAGGTAAAAAATACTAGCTTGTGTTTTACTAGCTGAAATATTGACCACTATTAGCCTCTGGGAACTATACTTCCCAATTCCTTCTTTGCTAAGGTCTTTCTCCAGAAGAGCTCCCATCGTACACCGTGGTTTGTACTGGGCAGACGGGAGGAAAGGGGAACGCCCTACAGCTCAGAGATGAGGTTTGACCTCATGTGTTTAGATTTTGGTTTTCTCTTGCTGGATTCTCTGGAATCGATCCCAAACCTCAGAAACAATTTTTAGCCAAATATTTCTGAGGCTAGTAATGAGATACTAGACCATTACTAAAGGAAAAAAAAAACTATCCTAAATTCTTCTGCAGTGGGTAAGTCTAAGATTCACATGACCCCACAGAATAGTGCTTTGTAGGCTACATCTATGTCTTTTTTCTACACTTTTTTCCTACCCAAATCAGCATATATTAGGGAATATTCTCTACATTATGATAAATGGAATTTCTTTGTCAGAAGATAACATTTTAACAGTGTCTTCACTCATTCTCAAGACAGCTAAATCATCTAAACCTGATTGTTTTTTCTCACACCTTTCATACCAGGTTTGCTTTTTCAGACTTCTCTTCCCCAGACCCTAATTTCCCACTTGACCATTGAAGCTTCCCAGCTTCCAACATACAAGAATCATGACTGACCTAAAAAGATCTCTCGGCCATCATCCCCTCGGAAAGAAACTCCAAAAAACCTCAGGACACTGAAAAGCTGCACATTTCCCACGACTTTGAATTTAACCACATACACTCTGGGCACAAATCTTCTTTCATTCTTACACTGGCGAGAATACAGAATAACTCCATTATCGATAAAAAGAATTAAAATAATGCACAGCTTTGGAAGGCATAGAAGATTGTAACCCATAGACTTATATGCTGATGCTGTTGCTATGGGTTCATTTATTAAGGACCAGGAGCCATGGGGGAGTTTGTTCCAGCTGAAGCCTGCGGCCAGTTGCACAACAGCCTGAGCCTCCGTAGACATTAGAACAGGCTGTTCCAAAACACACGTGATCATTTGATGACTGGGGCCAGGTACAGACAGTGCACTTTTACCAGTATAAGTGATCAGAAACTGGTCTATAACCAGAACAGAACCGAAGTTCGGCGTACACAGACTGGTTTAAAAATGGAGGAACCCAGTCTAAGTTTGGTTGCCCACCCAACCAAAGGACAAATGTGTGTCCTGTTCGTTACCAATCTAAACTACTCAGCTTACAGAAAGCTGCATAACTTCGACTGATTCCACTTCAGGCTTTTTGCATGTCTGTACCTAGTCGGGGTGAAGTCTGGTTGTCTTGTGTCTATGCCACTGGAGCCCCTTCCTCCCCGCCTCACCACACACACACGATGCCAGAGGCTGAGGAATTCCAGTTTGTTTGTACCTGCTTTTTCACTCTCAGGGATAAGGGTCTGGCCATATATCACTTTCTCTAAAGAGCAGGGGGGGCAAAGTCCAGCCCGCGGGCTGGATCTGGCAG